CTGGGACTAGTTTCATATGGAGCTAGACAAATTACTCGCTGAAAACTGTCTTTGGCGGTTGTCTACATAGTTCAAAGCAAGACTAGGAGAGGCCCTATCCTTCCCGCCAGTGGGGGACGTCAAGCATGGTAAAGCCTCAGCAGAGGAAGACTATGAGAGGAAGGTAGAATAAGAATGAGCGTTAAGGATGGCACACTGATCATGGACGGGCACACCCACATAAAGTCTTGTATGCAAACTCTCTTAACCAAAGACCAGTGACATACCGTAACTCCCTGCTTGGATGAGTCATTTGGCCATGTCTACACCACCCTTACATCCATGCCCACAGGGAGAGAGGTTGCTCTTTTTGTCGAATTGTCTGTGGGTGCAACTCTAGGTGACAAGAGCTCAGCAAACAGTAGCCACCCTAAGCATTTGCCCATGCTTTCCTGCCTTTCCTACCCTGTGAGTATGCGATTTGCCTCCCTGTGCTCCTAGAAGATGCAGGAGATGCTGGAGTGGCAGATCCTTTCTGCCTGCTCTGCCTACCTAAGCCAGATCCTGGCATAGTTTCAAGCTTCCCCGAGTGCCTGCTAAAGACAACATTTAAAGCCAAAGGTAATGTCAACCACAAATTTATTTTCCTTCCCAAACTGCACTAACCTTGAGGTGAATTAAGACATGCACATTTTTTTCATATTCTTTTGTGCCAGTATTATCCCACCTGTAGAATATAAATAGATTTTATAGGTTTTGAAGTAAATGGGTTGCATTCTGTATATTTTTAGATCTTCAAAAAAGAGCATGTATGTGGAAAGCCTGGCTCTACAAGGACTTTGTTAAAGAAATAAAGGATGCAGTATTAGAGAGTCAGGGACAATTCTGGCCTCAGGTCTTTCAACTCCTCTGCCTGCTGTTCATCACCCCCTTAGCTTGAGAGGTGGCAAATAAAATAATGGGCTATTTCTGTTTGGTACAATAAAAGATACTTTCTGGAGGCTTTGTCATGTCCAAATATCCTCTCATCCCATGCTTCATCACATGACCACTCAAACCAAACAGACTAAGGTAGCTTTATAACATATAAATAAATTTCTAAAGCGAATATTTAACTTTGTAACAATTTATGTCTCTCAAAGTTCAAAATTATACTAACAAGTTGATGAGAAGGATCAGTACTTTCCAGTGCCACAGTGAGAGATGTTTTGACTGGTCCCAGGATGGGGGTAGGATAGGTGGGAACCACCCCAGCCACACACCTGCATTCTCATAGGAGATCCCTGGGTCCTTATATGAGAACAAAAATCCCACAAAAAAAGTCAGCTATGCATTAAGGGAGAAAAAGGGTTTGTAATCAGGGCTCAGCTGGAGATCCGCTGTTTTGCCTCTGGAACTGCACGAAGCAGGTCCGTACACAACCACAAACGGTACAGTCAGCAGAGAACAGCCTACCCTCTGGGGACAGGCAGCCGCTCCTGTTTGTAGGGATTAAAAAAGAATTCTCCTGGGAGAAGAATTTGCTTAAGCCTTCTCTGTTTCCCCTGTTCATTTGTAACATCCCCAGGTGGGGCAAGAACCATTATCTTCCTTTCAGGAAATAATGACCTAGGCAGGACCTTCAGCAACTGAACTGCAGGATAACCATTTTCTAAGCTCTACTTGGCAGTGGGTAGTTACAGTTAAGTGCTAAGTGGATTCAGAAAGCCTCTGGTTAAAATGGTAGCACAATAAATACCAAGTCAATCCAGATAAACATCCATCAGTAGTTTGCTGCTCATCCTGCAAACTAAGTGCAAATATATTTCTGATCTTCTGCTCAAGCCATACCTCAGTCTAGCCTTACGGAATGGCCAACATAGCAAAGGAGACCATCCGACTTTCCAAAAATAAGGTTCTATATTTTGGAAGAAATTACCTGGAAAAAGTCATATATTAATTCCATTTTACCGGAGTCTGTATTTTTTTCTAAATACGACTTTTTTTTTTTTTAAAAGGAGCATAAAGTTGCTTATTATCATTCCATGCCAACTGTTGAAGCAAAGAAACAAGGCAGTTAGACTTTTAAAGAACACAAGGTATTTCACATTGAGTATTTGCAGCGCTGAATTCAGA